ATATCCATGTTCAAGGTCCAGTAAACATAACTCCTCATCAGACTCTTCATCCTTGAAGTTCCCGGATGGCCAACATAGAATTCCTTTAGTGTTCTACTCTGAAGTGTAGATATGATTACTACTCTGTCTCCGTATATTAATATGTCGTTACAGAGTGAGTAGACTTCTGAAATACTCTAATCTTTGCTAATCTAGTCTGTTTGGGCAAATATTAGTCACCGTTATATTGTGGGAATCAACTCATTAGATAGTAAATATTTATGGACTCATGGAACATTTATCCCACTAACAATATTGGCGGACTCAGTGTGAGACCAGGTAAAAAATTATGAAACACAAAACAATAAATATAAAACAAATGACAATGCATGGATTTACAAAAGGAATTGTATTATATGCGCACAATAATTTTATTTATTGAATTCAATCGATCGCTGATTGATGAGGTCCATAAAAGGGTACAAGTCTTTTATTATATTGTTTGATACAAACCTACAATTAGATGACCTTATTAATATACTATTTTATTTGATCATGTGACCCTGTAGAAGAAGTTGAAATGGTTCTTTGCTGCCTGACAATTGGTCAAAGTGTCTAAAAAGATTCAGAAAAAAAACTGCAAAATGGGATTTTGTATTTTATAACTCAGACACCCATTTTGTTCTGAGCAGGCAAACAAGAAGAAATTCCATGTTGAAAGAAAATATGTTCTTTGTCTTGCGTGGATCAACTTCCGGTTCTCCATCTTGCACGGATCGCATTCTAGTTCCCATCTAAAAGTACTGGAAACTATTTTTATTAAATCAAAACGACCTTCCCTACATAAATAGAATGATTGGTTGTATGAATTTAATGTGATCTAAAAATATATTTGTTCCAATATATGATTGGGTGTGTTGCGGGTTGATAGTATGTTTGGGTAAATATTTAGTCACCATTATGTTGTGAAATTGAACCCATTAGATAGTAAATATTTATGGGATCCTGGAAAATTTATCCCACAAACAATGTTGACGAACTCAATGTGAATCCAGGTAAAATGAGTAAAACACAAAATAATAAATATAAAACAAATGACAATGCATGGATTTACAAAAGGAATTACATTTGACGAAACTAAATTTAATAAGAATGTTCTTGTTTTTGTTTGTTTGTTTTGTTTTGTTTTGTTTTGTGTGTGTGTGTAACATCTTTATGAAAAAGTACAAAAGCCAAGAGAGAAAACCACGAAATGAACGTGCCACAGTGAGGGACACTTTACCCACGTGCGACGACATCTGAAAGCCATAGCTAAAAAAACTGAAAAAGAAGCTAGGGAGATAAATGCACACCATTTTATAGGCATAATGAGCGCCTCCTAGCGACGGTTTTTGACAAAGTCAAATGGGATAACTCACAATCTTTCTTCTTATCAACCAATCTTTTGAAGATCAAAGTTGACTGGAAAGCAAAAAACCGGAACAGAGTTCCACAAGTGAGAAGTGCGAGAATCATTTCAACTGTAACATGATGTGACCTTGACACCAATCTAGTAATGCGCTTAAAAATTCATAAAAACTAGGTACCATAGAGGAAAGTTCACCAGAGCAATTAGCATGTAAATATTTATAGAAAAGGGAGAGGGAAGCTATATTATGGCTTAAATTCATAAAGTCTAGGTACCATAGAGAAAAGCTCATCAGAACAATTACTTATAATTAAATATTAATAGAAAAAGGCAGAGGGAAGCTAAGTTGTGGCGGTGGGAAAGGGATTGAAACTGAGATGCCAGATCAGGACTAATAACATTGCAGATTCTTCTTTGTATTTTATCAAGAATGTTTGTTGATTTATTCGCTATACAAAGTGAAATGAAAACTCGGTGTCTAGTTCGGCTTAATACGCCTTTGTTGAACGTAACTGAAGAGTCTTGCCGTTTTGACTAAGACGGCTTTGTGACTTATAAAAATCCTTAGATAGGGGAGGTAATCGAGTTGCCTTGCCACACACTGCTAACCTCTTTTGTTTGTTTTTCAGCACTAAAATTTGGTATGCACAATCCTTAATGACATAAGACTTGTGGTAAGAGTTGCTCTACTAATTTTCTGTTATGCGTAAGTCATTGCATCAACTGTTACATTGATCGGTATAAAATTTTAATTTCTCTTTTCTTATGAATGACTGTACAAGAAAATATTTGTGGGATTTCAGTTTTACTATTTTTACTTTAAAAATATACATTTTATACTTTTCAGAATATTTCTTAGTTAGAAATATATTTTTTCAATTCACCCAAGCAAGGCGATAATGCCACTAAGACGCACGGAGCTGTTGGGAGTGAAAGACAATGAAAAGACTTTAGAAGGAACCAGAAACCCAATCCTAAATAGGAAACAAAGGCTAAACTTCTACTTCAGTTCAAAAGACCAAGGAAGTGTGTGAAGCGGACGATAGACGAACTTGTCTCGTTTTATTTAAACCTTAAATATTTAAATTTAAATTTACTCCTATTAGTGCATTGGAAATCAAGATAATCTATTTTTTTAAATATTATGCTACTAATTACGATTATGCCTTTACTGTACATGACCAATGTTGATAACAATGAACCTTGTTGCACATGAATAATGACTGTAGCAAATCTATAGTAAAATAATTGTTTTTTACTTCACGATTCTGTTACATTGCCATTTTGTATTATGAGTTCAGTGAGATTACGTCTCAGGAATGGTTTATAGAACCAAAAGTTTCGTATAAAAAGGATTTTGATGTGTTTTAACAGCGCAATATTACAATAATAAAAAATCGCTCTTGTCATTCTAACAAGATACGATTCAAGAATCGATCGATTCTACTGATTTATAGTTTTAATTTTATGGCCTACTTTCTCTCTCTCTCTCTCTCTCTCTCTCTCTCTCTCTCTCTCTAACTTTCTCACTTTATCTTTCTATTTCTCTCCTTCTCTCTCTCTCTCACTTTCTCACTTTATCTTTCTATTTCTCTCTCTCTCTATTGTTCGCTTTTCTCTCTATCAATATTCTTCCTTTTCCTTCTCTCTATAGTCCTCTCTCATCTGCTGTTATCTTGTTCTTTTTCCCCTCTCCCTATTGTCTTTTTTCTCTCACTATTCTACTTCCTCTTATTATTTATCTTTTTGTCTCTTCTTCTTCTTCTTCTTCTTCTTCTTCTTCTTCTTCTTTATTCTTTCTTTCTTTCTTATTTACTTTTACGCCCTAAATTTACTAACAACCATCCTTTGACCATGAACTAAAGTTCTATTTTTTCTCAATTTGAAATCGCTTTTTTTTTTTTTGCTCATTTCTCTTCCTTTTACTTTTGTCATGAATTTTCTTTTCTCTTTTTTTTTTTTTTTTTTTCGATTTACTTTCACTATTAACCGTGGGAATTTCACGGTTTGCCTATTTTCATTTTCTGATGTATCAAAATTCATTAGCCAAGAATCAAATACGCTCTCTATGAGTCCCACAGTTATAAGAAATGCCCGTAGAGATTCCCCCTCTGTTGAATGAATTGCGTTAAATATTTGAGTTTAACAACTATATAAAAAAAAACAAAAAAAAAAATAAAACTGGACAGAGGTAATTCTTTAAAGAAGTCAGAGGGTACAAATGAAAAGATTTAAAAATGACTAGCTTTTCCATTTCGCAAAGGCAAAACTTAAACACGCTTATTGCTTTCTCTCTTCTTATTTCCTTATCTCTTTCCGTCTCTGATAAGTCTTTTTCCATCTTCTAATATGATGATAGTGATGATGAAAATGCTATTTCTGATGTTGTTGTTGATCATGATAATGTCGTCTAGATTTTGAAAGTTAATAATCTGAATATACTATTTTCTGATAAAGAAAGATTCGTCAATGTTATTCCGCGTGACAAATTCCGTCAACACGTGTAAAGAACGACAGAAAAGACAAATTTTTTTTTTTTTTTTTTTGAGAATTTTACTTTCATTTTTAGAAAAAAAGTTCTAAGTTCGAAGTCATGTTTTTGTCACCTGACAGATAACGGCAGCTGATAACCAATCGCTTATTTTTTCGGGTCTTTTTCTTTTCCATTTCACTAACGATAAAACCCATAAGTGTTACCACCTCCTCTATCTTTCCTTTCTTTCTTTCTTTCTTTCTTTCTTTCTTTCTTTCTTTCTTTCGTTATTTCTTTCTTTCGTTATTTCTTTCTTTCTTTCACTGAAACCAAACATAATCTCTGATACGTCTTTTCCGTCTTTCTACACGATTAAAACGGAATAGTCCATTATTTATGAGGTAATAGGAGTATGCGATAATGAAGAACAATAACAACAACAATAACAACAATAATTATAATAATAATAATAATAATATACAGAAAATTGTCTTATTAAGTACAGCACACACACTAAGGAGAACTTTGTCTATGTAACGCTAGCAACTTCACCGAAATGTGGCCATAACAACACACCACGACCTGCCTTAGGTCTTTCCGCAGACTTGGTAGGTAGTGTGTCCATAGCAGAAATCGAATGATGATGATGATAATGATAATAATAATAATAATAATAATGAAATCTCAAAAATGTGGCACATGGGAACATCAAGAATCCCTGTAGTAGTTGGAGCTTTGAGATTGGTTGAAAAAGATTCCAATAGACCCATTGAAGGGATTCCTGGAAGCCCATGCCTTAAAGAAATACAAAAAATTGTTCTCACGTGTACAGCCCACACCTTACGAAGGTCTTTATCTATGTAAAGTGTGTGTGTTGTTGTTCTTTCTTTCTTTTTATTGGTCAGTGTAATATGTAATGAAGCCATTTCTAACCTTAGATCTCTGGGCGGGACCCGGAAAGAAATGTGTACACATCAAAAATCAAAAGAAATAAAATAATAATACGATTATTTAATTATTTTTTTTCTTTTTATGGCTTTTTCTTAACGTTTGTAATGGTTTTATTTTTAATTAATTTTGATTCATTCATTTATATTATTTCCAGAGATGGGAAAATGTTTTAGCAAACGAGACTGTCCAATGTTTAGATTGCAAATAGTTCACTCACACCTCTTTTCTTTCCTTTTTCATTTCTTCTTTGTTTCTTTCCTTCTCGTTCAACGTTTAATCTTTTTTTCTCTTTTTTCATCGCTTTTTTTTATATGTGATCATTTTTTCTTTCCTTCTTTCCTTTTTTTCTTTCTCTCTCTCTCTCTTTTTTTTCTTTCTTTCTTTTTCTCTCTCTCTTTTCTTTCTTTCTTTCTTTTTCTCTCTCTCTTTTCTTTATTTCTTTTTCCTTCTTTCTTTCTATCTTTCTTTTTTTTCTCTCGCTTTACTTTATTTCTTTCTTTCCTTTTTTCTTTCTCTTTCTCTTTTCTTTATTTCTTTCTCTCTCTCTCTCTCTCTCTCTCTCTCTCTTTCTTTTCTTTATTTCTTTCTTTCTTTCTTTCATACACTGATATTCCTTTCTTCATTGCTTTCTCCGATCCTCTTCTTTGTTTTGTTTCTTTTTTTTTCTTTTCGTTTCTTTTTCTTGCCTTGTTTTTCTGATTTGGGGGAGATTTCTGACGAGACGTGGGGAATACTAGAAGAGAGTGAATAAGTGTGAAACAGATTGAAGAGCATAATATCGTGTGTGTGTGTGTGTGTGTGTGTGTGTGTGTGTGTGTGTGTGTGTGTGTGTGTGTGTGTGTGTGTATCGGGAAAAGCCCAGGAAATGACTCAGTTAAGCTCTGTGTAAATCTTTGTATTCCCGCTTAGGCCGCCTTGGTGGCTGAGGTAGGTGTGCCTATTATTGTTTGATGCCAGCCATTTGTCGGTGTTTCAATACAAGCAGGTGATTCTCCGTCAGCTGAGCTCAGAAATTCTTCCAATTCCAGCAAACTACTGTCTCCATTTCGATTAAGCTAACAACAGTAGATATTTATATTTGTACACATACATATGTATTGTACACATGTATTTGTATATACATATGGAAGTAATTCTAAGCATTTATTGGCTTTTATTTCTCATCTGACATTATTTATTCTTACTTTAAACGGGATATTTTTCAGAACACACGTGTTTGAGTAGAGAATCCCTCTCTTTTTAGAAAGTGTAAATCTCTGTCTACCGGCCTGTGCATTCGACAGTCTTAATAAAGGAAATGTGCCTCTCGGCAAGGTTCAGGCCTATTTACCGCTCAGCCACGGAAGACTTTCACAAACAAAGTACAGTTAACCTATTTATAGAATGTACCTCTCTCTTGTTCATATCCCTTGAAACCCATGTATGCTCATTTTTTTATTTTCCTATTCGAAACGTAAATAAAATATTTTTTTAAAAATAATTAATGGATTTTCTTTGTAATCTGACATTATTGTTGGTTACTTTAAACGTTATATTTAGTGGATGCACGTGTTTGAGCAGACGTCCTGCTTTTTGAACAGTCTAAATCTATGTCTACAAGCCTGTGCATTCTGAGTCTTAATAAGGATATATAAACATGATAATATAATTATATATCTTCATGAAGATATATACATAATAAGTCTTTATAATTAATTTTTAAAAATTATAATTATTTTTAAAAATTATAATTATTTTTTTTTATTTTCAAGATTGGTTATTCCTAAATTTTCGCTTGAGGATGAAACAGGGCTTGATACTTTAATTCGATTTAATTTCAATAATAATATTGAGGTTTTTGGCTCCTGTTTTTGAAACATGAGAACTCTTATGTAGCCAAGGAATCTTTTTTTTTTAAATAATTATAATTTAAGCTTCGACTTCTGTATGGAGAACTGTTTTTTTAAAAATAAAAAACAAAAATACTAAAGAATTCCGGACTATTTACCTAACGTGTTCTTTCGTATTTTTCTACATATTTGCACATACATATATAAGTCGATAGATAACTTTTAGTCAATAGCATATCATTAATTAAAGAAAATGGCAATAATAAAACGCTATTTTGACATGTTTCCCCACTCAGACAAGTGGATGACAGTCATTTGTTTATATCCCTTAGACATTAATGCTGACAAGTGAGCCACGATTTTTCGACAGGTCATTTCTAAATAACTTCACCTGATATGGTCTAATGACAAGCGTTCTTTTTTCTTTTTTTTTTTCACAGTGACTTTGATTTTCGGAATCCACTGAATGTAGTCTTAAGAACTCCTAATATCTTATTCACTGACGAGAGCTCATCATATAACAATAATTATGAACCAGACGACAAACCTAATTATTTATATGGAAATTAAGAATATAAATAAAAATATATCTAATTTCAGTAACTTTTATATCATCTACAACACCATTTACCACTTATGACAGTGATATGATGAAAATATAACGCTTGAGAATGGCTACGAATTTAACTGAAGGCGCTCAGAACCAGCTAACTTTTGATTTTTTTTTCCATTCATTAAGTCCATTAAAGAGACTTATACATCTACAAGAAACAAAAAACACAATAAAGAATGAAACAAAAATTACCTGTAGTTCCTGTTCAATATATATATATATATATATATATATATATATATGTGTGTGTGTGTGTGTGTATATGTTTACTGATTTAAAATATGGTTTCTTCGCTTTTCAGTAATAAACATGTTTCAAAAACTGAAGCTAAAAACATCAAATTTAATTATAGAATTATGGAAATTCCAAAATTCGCTTGAATATGAAACAGAACTAATGCTTTTAATTTAATTCTATAATTAAATTTGAAGTTTTTAGCTTCAGTTTTTGAAACATTATTATTACTGTGTAGTGAAGAAACCATATTTTAAATCAGTTAATTTATAATATTTATGCTCTGTAAATTTACATTGAGCACTGTTTTGTAAAAATAAATTTAAAATATATCAATAAGAACACCGGATTATATATATCTTACTGTTCCTTCTTTATATATATATATATATATATATATATATATATATATATATATATATATATATATATATATATATATATGCCTATATGTGGGTTTGTCTAGACAGAAAGCGAATCATTTAGATTTAAATGCAAGATACTGAACACGTACGATATCTTGTCCTTATTTTTTATGAAGATTCGTTGTTGTTTCGTTCCTCACTTGCGTTGAATTTTTTAAACTGCCGATAGGTTCGCACACACTTAATCCACATTAATGTCAAGAGTTCCAGGAACTTTTATTAAATTGTTCAAGTTTACAGTTTCAAGAAGCCATTAAAAGACAATTCATAAAGTATTAATACTTTTAAAACTTACTTTATCTACATGGACTGAAAGTTTGAAAACCTTATACTTTATGGATTGTCTCTCAGTGCTTTTTTGAGACTCTAAATTTGAACATTTTACAGAAAGTTCATAGAATTCTTGATTTTCAAACTTCTGCAAAAATTTTGAACATTTTTCTCTCGTACAAAACCACAATAGCATCTCGTCAACTGTTAGCAACTTTAGGTGACAAAAAATTACTGTCTCTGAGATTTGGGCCCAGCACATGCAAAGAAAAACAAAGGATAACAACAACATCAATAATAATAATAATAATAATAATCAACAAGGTCTGTGTAAATTACAGGGATTTACTGATAAATGTTTTAATGTTGCACTCTACTTTTCAACAGATGACCATTCCCACAAAGTCACAAGAAAAGTGCCGTAGTAACTTTTAAAAACACTAAAACTTCCTGAACAGATCTTAGGTCACAAAACAGGATTTAACTCCTGACTACAAACAAATGCCTTTAACCAATTACCTTCCATGAGACCCATTTAGGGATCTGTTAAAATTAAACTCACTACATGTTATTCCTTGTATTTACATTGAATTGCTTACATACATTGCATTTGCAGAGGTATATTTTACAACACTTAGCCTTTAAAGTTTTTATTATTAGCCGTAAAAAGACACTTTCTGTCGTAATTTTACATTTCACGAGTAGAAAAATAATGACTATTTTGAAAAGTATTTTTTTATTATTTCTAATCAATATTATTTTTTATGTTTTATACACATATATATTTGATGTTCTAGTTTCCATTAAAACGACAATGGTATCTACTGAAATTAAACATAAGGAATAAATAAACTCCTAAGACACCTGTCCGGGCCAAAAATGCGCATTAAAAAAATTTGGCAGTTAATTGGTTAAGATGATTACCCTCCAATCTCTCTCTCTCTCTCTCTCTCTGTGTCCATTCTATTTTTCTCACTGTACGTATTCCCCACTTTCTCTCTTTCTTTCTCTCTCTCTCTCTCTCTCTCTCTCTCTCTCTCGCTCTCTCTCGGACGCTCAACACAGTTTTGATTAGAATAGCCAACATCATACATAGATATATATATATATATATATATATATATATATATATATATATATTATTTCGTAAATAAGAGCTATGTGCTGATTTACAGGATCTAAATGCAGCGAGAAAGAGCTAGACTGGTAAACAGTTTTTACGGAATTTATATTAAGTGGGAACATCACTTAGCATAAAGATGGCAGCTCTAAAAACGACCAGCTGAAAGATATCAGTCATCATCTATTTTATTAGTATTTACTAGCAGTACTCGTTTAAATTATACAAAGTTGCTAATGATTTTTTTTATGTTGTACTCTGTACTTTTCATCGCATGACCATTCCCAGAGAGTCACAAGAAAAGTGACATAGACTCTAAAAAATACTGAAATAGATCGCTGGGTCACGAAACAGGATTTAATCCTTCACTACAAACAACTGCCTTTATTCAAGATGTCACCACTTTCAATTCCACTCTGTGCCGCACTGTCTTTTTGTTTTTTTACATCCCGTTTTCTCACTTTCTTTTTTATTCTCTATGTCTCTTCTCTCTCTCTCTCTCTCTATATATATATATATATATATATATATATTTCCATTTCAGTGTCTGTGATAGCTAGCGTGAAGCACACACTGGTACGACCGTATTAATAGATACATAAATAATATTAATAATATTAATAGTTGAAGATAGATGTTGAAAGAATATGAAATGTATATACCAAGCTGTTCAAATTCTCCAAAGAACCATCCAGAAACACCTTTGATATTGCAGTCGCAATGAGCAGAACAATTTTGAAATTATATAAAAAAAAGCAAAAAACGTAAACACACAGCAAATATCCTATAGAACGTACTTGTTGTCTGATTTCTTGACAGAATGTCACTTAAAATTACTTCTGTGGCTTGAAAGCATCACTGTACAAATGTCAATAATACGTCCACTGCCAAAACCACCAACAGCAACAAAAGAAAAATCAACAATAACTTTTGGAAGATAAGGGTCAGAAAGAAAAACAGTATTTTAAATTAACTATATCATTTTTCTATATTGTATGGAAATATTATACTGACACTATTTCTAATTCCTGGCGCTGAAATATGCCTTGAAATGGCGTATTGATTAGCAAAATGTCTATAATCGTGACTTTTATCCTCATTGGGTACTATGACCTTTGATATTGTTTCCAAAGTAAGCTTCGTAAATAACAACTTTAAAATTATTATTTTCTTTTATTCCTGAAACATATTATTCATACCGTATTTTGATTTTTTTTTCTTGTAAATAGTCTAAGTCATTTTAATCACTCTATTGTAAACATTTTGTTAAGTGTAGTTAAGAAAAAATAAGAATAAAAAGGAAAGTTATAAAAAGAAAAAGACCAAACAAATAAGATATAATAAAGAAATTAATATATTGGTTTGTTTTCTTCTCTTCTTCCAAAAAAACATCCTGTCTTGGCCGCATGTAGGAAGATCAGTACAACCAAGCAACACCCAATCTATAACATTGAATAGCCCAAGTGAAGACTTGATTAGTTGCCGTTTTCTGAGGGAACTTATATAATGCACGTCCTAAAACTAGTAGCAAATTTTATTCTGGGTGCGGGCCAAATACTGATCATATTCGGTCGGGTCGCCCATCGAAGAAGTCTGTTGTTTATTTAGACCCGAAACTTCTAGTGACATGGGAGCAACAACACTGAAGACGCATCTAGATTCGGCATTTAAATAATTTATTAACATTTAGCAACAGCGCTGTTTTATTAAAATAAATTTTAATATACAGACTCGTAGCCGGACAATGCTAGTCAGGTCAGAAATTGCACCACCTACTTGACCATCTCCCCTTTTGTGACGATTCATGTACCAGAGATCCTCTCCTTTTTAATGCAGTGCTAGAAGCCTTGGAGTCAATTCCATTCTAAATCTTATTTACTGATGATTTCTTGGTGAAGTGGTTGAAACTTAATATTCTATGTAAAATTATAGTCAAAAGTCAAGTACAATACGTAATACACGCTTGGGCGATCATATCTCTTTCGATTCATGACTGGCTAGGCAGTAGGCTACCGTTTCTTTCTATGCTACAGTGGTCAACAAGCAAGCCTATAGGGCCCAATTTGTCCTACTATTAAAGCCATAACTGAGGGGAGATGAGATGATTAGGTTTCCTAAAGGTATTTACGCGTAAGTTAATTTCACAAACCTGACTGGAATACAAACGTCTTATTCCATTCTCCATCACAGCTCGAAGCATATCTAATGTAAAATTAATGCACTTTTATACCTTTTTAAATGATGCATGTTTTGATGGAAATCATTTTTATATACAAATGAATTTCTCGTTAAATAATATTTTGCCATGTGAGTCGTTTGTGGATTTTTTAAGTAACGACCTAATACATCCAGCCAGGCAAATGTGAGACAACATTGACGACAATAAGAACAGAGACGCTTTTTTTAATGACCTCAAACACACGTGACAATTGAATGATTGGGGTTGAAATTAATGAACAATACAATCAAGACCCAATATCGAATTCTCTTTGCAATAATATGGAAAAACTTTATAAAAATCTTTTACCAGAAACAGTAAAGAATCTAACTTTATCAAGGGGCGTATTAAAAGAAAACATTTGGTTAACCTATGAAATATTAAGATTTGTTATTTTATTTATTCTTGTCCTGTATTCGTTTGTAATTGTTAGTTAATCAAAATAGAAGTATGGAATTTCTCCGGCGAGAAAACAACTTTACTGTGTCTTATTCCCTGCCAATTAGAGTTCAGTGCTTTTTAAAGGTCATATATCTCGCCATATATACATTTTCTATTTTATTTTCTCTTATTTGCTATCACTTCTTGAACATGAGAGTGGAGTGACTTTCCTTTACCTTTTACGCCTGTTTGTATAGTCAGTCAAGGCTAGAGAAATCCAGTCTACTTTGCTATTTAATATTGCTCGAGGTGAGGAATGAGATGGATTCGTAAGGACATTTGTGTGAAAATGGCGGGAATTTGAGTCCAGTTCACCGATTTGGCGCCGATAACCGTTAGACTACCCGTACGTATCAAGTAAAAGAGAAAAAGTTTACTTTAATCTGCACAGAATGTATCAGTGAAAAAAAAATGAAAGAATTTCTGTATGTAAATTATTCTTCGCTTAAATGAACCTTTCGTATTCACCTGACTTCCTATTTATAAAATATGTATTATATGAGGTGAGGGTAAAAACTGTTATTATATGAGGTGGTGTT